ATTTGGGTATTGGTATTGATTCGAGCCAAATTTAAAATTTACTATCAACATTAAAAATTTAGAAAACTTTTTCAATCATATTAACGCTGATTGATGAAAGAAGCTCCGGCTACAGAAGTATAGTGCAACACCCTCCTAATCGTCATAATCATCATCCAGAGTGAAATAAATAAGATACTACAGAATTGTAACATTTTGTCTTTAATCTTCTTTGTTTTTTTTTTTAAATGTTACCTTCACCCTAGGATTTTTTTATTAGTTGATATACATAAATTTTACAAGGACAAGCATACGGACCCGGAACAATTATTTGTAAGCTATACAAATAGTTGTTCCGTGCGGGATTCGAACCCGCGCAAGTCAATGCTAAGCCAATTCGCAACGGAACAGTCATAAGAGAAACTTTAACAGTTTTAGGAAAAAGTGATTAAAAGGGAATGCTTAAACTAACTATGCGCTGATAAAGAAGGAAGGAGGGAATCACATGGAGTTTTCACTCTCATGTTTTTACATTTGAGAAACGTTTTAAAATCAAACACCGTTTTCATACTTTAAGTAACTATTTTAAGAACATTATGTATATATACACATATTGTTCTTAAAATACTTTTATGTTAAGAGCTGCCAATTTTAGGCGTGCAAACTTTCGTCACCCAACTTGATATAATAAGTCAATAAAGATATTGTAATATCGAGGGAAAAAGACGACGTGGCAATTCTGAGTCGTTGTCAAAAGGCATATTCGTCGCTTCGGGCCCCTACCTCAAGGCGCGTTATCTAATCTTCCAATACATAGAGAAGGGTACTCGTCATGTCGACGAATATTTTTTTATCTCTCCCCAACGATCCACTCGACAAAGGATCGGCCATTTTTCCGGTAATTTCAGACTAGAGAGGGCATTACGTGAAGTTATGTATGTGATTGTATAATACGTTTTACGATGGCATAACTGTGAAATAAAATAAAGGGTGCGACGTTGACGATCCATTTTGTAAATTAAATGTTTAGTGCTGCTGTTGGGAGTTGTTCTTGTTTATTTTAGTTTTGTAATATTTTTGACATTGTGAGTTTCCTGTTCTGATATACAAGGAACAAAATTTTCACTTTTGTAGGTTTACCGGAAGCAAGAAAATCAAGAAAAGGGCACAGCTCGCTCGTTGTTAAGTCCGGAGCTTCTCACACGAAAAGCGGGAATCATATCACTAGACCACCTGGCGTTTTGTGTATTGGATGATACGTGCTAATCACACTGAGGTATTACTACTACGCACGTACGTACGTTAGTAATATAGTTCGATGACCAATCAGAAAGTTTTACGAATCTAATCAAAAGATGGAGGTGACAACCTAATCAAACACTCAGTTAGAACATGGATTCAGGTGTTTTAAGACCGTACTTTGTGGCAATTATGGAGGAGTATGTTATGATAGAACATACTCCTCAATAGATTGCTCACAACCCCGAACAGACAATACAGACACTATGCAGTTGTGTAAGTTAGAAAATTCTGTTTTAAAGTGTGACAAATGAGCACACATTTCTCCTGATAGTAAATGAATGCTATGGCTCATAGACATCAACATGTATCTTCGATTAAGAATCAAAATGATGCGTTGTCAACTCGTGAAATACTATATGGAATGACTCGTTTCCAGTAAAAGGGATCTTCGGTTCGATACACTCACCATACGAAACACAGCACAAGTAAGCTGCTTTTTTACGCTTGTAGTTAGAGAGTGGACCCTTCTTCGTCGGTCCGATTGTGTTGTAATCATAATATAGTTGCAGCCGCGTGTAAAGTGTTTCAGTAAATGTAACGTTTTAGAAAAACACAGATCATTATAGTAAATGTACACTATAAAACATTATAAGGTTAGACAGTATTCTTGCATTAAAATATTCTTAAGCCAAAATCACAGATATTCCATTGAATAAAGGTAGCAGGATACAATGCTCCATCTGTAATAATACCTTCACAAATAATAGTCTTGATATTTGTGTCGAATTCTGCAAGTGCAGCTGGCACTACTGGATCTAAAATGAATACAATAAAATTTAGATTGACATTTATTGTAGGTAGCTTAAGAAAACTGTGATCTAATTTTGTTCTGTGGTTATCGTATTAGTAGACCTAGTAGTCAGACTTTTAGGTAAAAAAAACCTTGCACCTTGGGTTTGCATTCTGGCTGAAGTAAACAACTTTTGAAACAAATATAAAGTACGTTAGGGTAATATAGTATACCTTAAGCTTTGCTGCCCTATAAGGCCAAAACTAGGAGGAGTACAGAGACAAAAAAAGCTAATCCATGTACTATAACTAATATATTAAAAAAACCATAGCAAACAAGCTTTGGCAATAATTAGGAAAACTTCGAACTTAAAAAAAATCACTACATTACACGATAATAAAATCGACTAAAATATTTGCTATAATTTCAACTATCAAAATGGCGTCGATAAAGCAGCGACCTTTTGACCCTTTATTATTTGATTAAATGATGAAGAGCTATCGTATCACAGAACCATATATGCAAAGAAGGCTATAGATTTGGAGTTATAAGAAAGTGACCATATTAACAGGATGACCATATCGTGGTAGAGCCATGTTGCAGTTATATTAGTAGTATAGTTATAGCACGAATGGGTCGGCTCGACCGGGGAAGGACCACGCTCTCACAAAATACCAGCGTCAAATAGTAGCTTAATGCTGCTATGTTTGGTATGATGAGTGTAGAGAAACGGAGACCCTTTTTACTGGAAACGAGGCATTCCATCTTAGTCCCCACGGGTGAAAACGCATCTGCATTTTGATTCGTAATCGAGGATAGATATAGATGCCTATAGGCCACAGCAACCACTTACCTTCAGGTGGATTGTGTGATCGTTTGTCACCCTGTCCTATAAAAAAACGACGGGAGAACTGCGTTTAGCAGTTAGATGTATACTTAGATTGTAAATATAGTTTTACGTAGTATTATTCTGTTCACTGGCAAATATAAAGTCTTAGTCACTGTCTATCTCTGTCTTAGTAAAGATTTGTCGTGCTTTTAAGATTACGTGCTTTCCGAGTCACAGGGGTGAAACACCGCCAAATTCTCTACACCGAAGTGTTACTGAAAGTTTTCTCGACTGAAAAACTCAATAAATAACGACCCGTGATTTAAGCCCGGGATCTCAAGATCAGCATAATAAAGAAATTAATAAATTTCATTATTTCTTAATATTTACGCGAACACTACACATTGAAATAATACTAGTTTTTACGGAATTTATCGCGTATATTTAACTTTTTAATTACTCGACGTTTCGAGAGCTTTACAGCACCCATGGTCACGGGAAGGACTGAGATGTTCAACGTCCAGCTGTCATAGTTAACCGCGGTTACCATAGATTAAAATTTAACTTTTGTTCCGATCTACACAGTATGAAATTATGGTATCATGGAGTCTTGCAGTTGTATGCTTGGGTTGGGATTTAATTTTATTTATTATAGGATCCCAAGCAGATGGTAGCACCCAGCCATCTTCTCTATTGAAATTAGGATGTTTTTTGATTTCAATAGCCTCGCGAATCATCCTTGGAAGGAATCGGTGTTCTTTAGCGAGGATTTGTGGTCTATCAAATCTGATGTAGTGACGGGGGCGATCCTGTACATGTTCACAGACTGCAGACTTCCCGGAGCGTCGATTCTTCACATCAGCTATATGTTCTTTGACGCGGGTTTTAATGGATCTTTTAGTTTGTCCTATGTAGGAGAGACCACATTCACAATCAAGCTTGTACACTCCTGCATCTTGCAGAGGGACGTTACACTTGACTGATGGTAAAAACTGACCAATCTTCTTCGGCGGCTTGAAGTATGTTTTGATTGAAGCGCGCTTCAAGATGTAGCCAATCTTGTCAGTGACTCCTCTAACATATGGCAGTACAGCAGGTACACGCTCGACTGTGGCCGGCTTCACTCGTTCTCTGTGACGTAGGCGCGGGACCCGAAGCTTGTTGTCATGCAAAACTTGCTTGACATGTTGGAGCTCGGCAGCCAGGTGTTTACTGTCACAGATCCCTCGTGCTCTCTGAAACAAAGATTTACCCACAGTAGCTAACTGTGAAGGATGGTGGTGAGAATCACCGTTTAAATATCTATCTGTATGGGTTTTTTTTCTATACACAGTATGGCTCAAGGTGTTATCAGGATTCCGAATTACTAACACATCTAGAAAAGCTAAGGAATTGTTTGCCTCTAACTCCATTGTGAACTTCACAATCATTCACATTCATTCAAAAAGCAATCTTCAATCCAGGTAAGACACATCATTGTATTTAGTTAGCGGAAGGTTGCAAATTAATTAATTTCTTTGTTTAATGCATTTCCGCAAAGTAACGCCAGATCGGAGAGAGGGCGCCACAGTGCCACTGTTCACATCGAGTCCGTATTTAAAGTGAATAAAAATATTGTTTTCTGTATATTAGAAGCTAAAAGTGTATAAATCCGTAAATTTACATTAAGTACTATTCAGACAATATGAAAAATCAAGTGAAATCGCAGTGAAATATAAATATTTTCAAAATTAAGTACTTAACGGTCAACAGTGTTGTGTTAAGTGAATCAAAATATTATCTGGTGGCTCAAGTTATTAGATAAACAACTTAGTGCAAGAATTGTTCTTCAAAGAATAATCACTCGAACCAAAAACTTTATTAAGTGTGAAAACTACAAATCCTATTAAACATTTAAAAAATAACCTTAAAAGTGCTAATCATCATCAACCTGAGCCATAAGACATACAAAACGGTAATATCAACGCCATCTATCACTAAACTTGAACACTACGTAATCAACCATACTCAAGAGATACATCGTACTCAATATCCGTAAACGATCGAACTAATCAAACTTTATATTTCACCACGTAACCAATAGGGGGCATTGCTTACAAAAGTGATCAAAGCAAATTGTCTTACAGCCCACTTAAAGTTTACAAAGACATTACAAAAACCATGGAAGTAATTGAATGCATGCTGGAAAACATGCAAAAAGAAATAAAACAACAAAAGATTGATTTGCTCGAAATGAAAGAAGATATAAAAACTGCTATTAACAATAACATAAATGACAAGTTTAGAAGCTTGGAAATTAAAAATGAACGTATAGAAAAGAAATTAGAGGAGCATTCTTCAGCTATCAAAAATTTAGAAAGATACACGAGACGCAAAAACTTGATTATATTTAGAGTAGAAGAACGAGAAAAATCCTATCACGATTTAGAAAAAATAATATTAGATATAATATAAAACTACTTTAGCTTACAATATGAGAATAGTATAGAATCGGTCAGAAGAATTGGGAAAAAGGGCGAAAAAATTCGACCTGTTGTTGTTACGTTCAGCACAGTGGGACTAAAAATAAAAATTTAGCAAAACAAAAAATGCCTATGAGTCTTGAACAAACGCAGAGAACTTCAAACCCAACTGAAAGTAGAAAGAAAGTCGGGTAATAAAGCTTTTATAAAATACGACAGACTCATTGTATTACCCAACCAAAATAGGGACATACAACAATACCATACAAGCAAAAGAATTTTATCTGTATCGCCCGAATCAGAGACATATGATTGCCAAAACACCACAGAAAACAAAAAACAACCTATAAAGAAAAGCAAGACAATTACTATAAAAAACTACGTCCTGCAAAAAACAAAACTTGTTTATGGTACTGAAAGCATTTCACACGATCAAGCACTAACAGTAGAGCACTATGAAAGAGAATAGCAAACACAAAAGGCCCCTCCAGCTCCTGCTCTCCCAATCCGGCCGGTCCCCGTGGGAAAAAAAGACCGAAACCCTTCTGAGACAAACACCTCAAATAAGCTAGAGCTAACGAACTATAACTTACTCTATATTGCGAAGTACAACGTTAGGACTTTATCAACACACGCCCGCCTATTAGAATTAACGGAAGCCCTGAAAAAGACAAAATTTGATATAATAGGCCTCTCTGAAACTAGAAGGCTAGGAAACTCAATTCAAGAATATGAACATATTATCTTTTGTTACATAGGAGAGACCCCAGACCTTTATGGCCTGGGTTTTCTCGTGAAGAAACAGCTCAAGAACCATATCGAGAGTTTTACCGGTCTTTCAGAACGAGTAGCTATATTGACGCTAAAAATAAACAATTTCAGAATAAGTTTAATACACGTTTATGCCCCGACAGACGCTGCAGGCGATGCTGAAGTAGAGTTTTCTTTATGATACCATCGACAAAGCCCTTAAAATATCAGAAAAGAAATTAATGGTTATGGGGGACTTTAACGCCAAAATTGGTCAACCAAAACCAGAAGAAAACTTAATAATGAAAAACCACGGATACGGCACAAGAACCAATAGAGGCGCACGACTAATAGAATTCACATACGAAAACAAACTTTCAATAATAAACACTTTTTATAAAAAGAAAAATAATCAGAGATGGACGTGGCAATCTCCGGACGGTACTTGTAAAAACGAAATAGACTACATACTGACAAACTTACAGAAGAACGTGCAGAATATACAAGTCGTCAATTTGAATTTCCCTACGGACCACATACTTTTAAGAGCAACATTTCTTATACAAAAGCTTAAAGTAAACAAAATAAATTATGTAAACAGCTCAAAAAGCTCCCTTAAAAGCGTAAAAGAAAGATCGAGATATGAACAATCACTCAACGAATGCAATGAAGACCTTATGAACTGCCTAGAAATTAACTCTGTACAAGAATGCTATGATAACATAATTAACATTGTAGAAACCAGTTTGAAGAAAGCTCTCGTAAAAGATAAAGATAAAGAAAGAAGCAGCGTGTTATCAACTGATACTACAAAATTAATACAGCGTAGAAGTGCTCTACAAAAAATAAAACCAAAGACGCGAGCTATGAAAAATGAATTAAAAGCGCTGTACAAGCTAGTTAGCAAATGTGTTCGAAAAGACTACTCAAACCATCGAAAACATACTATCCAAAACATCTTAACTCAACAGGAAGTATTAAGAAAGCGTATAAGGAACTGCGATCTCATAAAACATGGATAGAAGGACTCAACAATCCTCAAAGAACAACGCATGACAGAAGAGAAATCTTAAACATAGCAACTAACTTTTATAAAAACTTGTACAGTGCCCCAGAATGCCTAGACATAGACCAAACTGAACCGGAAAATGATGACAAAGATATAGATATAAACCCGGTGGATGAATCAGAAATTACAATGGGAATAAAAATGTTAAAATTAGAGAAGAGTCCAGGACCGGACAGAATAACAAACGAGGCAATAAAAATAGCTGGTACTTATCTAGTAAGCCCTTTGACACATCTGTTTAATTTGATTTTAAGTTCTTCTATAACACCCACACAGTGGTCCGAGGTCAAATATCATTCTATTGTTCAAGAAAGGTGATCCAAAGAACATAGGCAATTATCGACCAATTAGTCTTCTTCCTTCACTTTATAAATTATTCTCATCAGTAATACAGAAGAGAATCAGGAATACACTGGAAAAAAGTCAACCGATCGAGCAAGCTGGGTTTCGAAAGAGCTACTCCACAATGGACCACATCCACTCTTTGGAATTACTTATTGAAAAATATCAGGAATATCAACGTCCACTCTACATAGCGTTTGTAGACTACCAGAAAGCTTTCGATACAATACTACATCCCGCAATATGGAAAGCTTTACAAGCACAAAAAGTGGGAAAAAAATACGTCCAAGTCTTAAAATACCTTTACGGGAGAAACACTAGTAGAGTGAAACTAGAGACCGCAGGACCACCTATTCATGTCAAGAGAGGAGTACGGCAAGGCGACCTCGTCGCCTCTAATCTTTATAGCAGTACTAGAATCGATTATCGGAAAACTAAATTGGGATAAAATAGGTATATGCATAAAAGGGAAACATAATTGCCACTTGAGGTTCGCCGACGACATTGTCCTTCTATCAGAAAATAGCATAGAGCTAGAATCAATGTTACACATACATATGAAATACAATAGAAATTAACCTGAGAAAAACAAAACTCATGACAAATTCCTCAAAAAACTCTATATGTCTTGACAACACGCCAGTAGAGTACGTCGAGAACTATATCTACTTAGGCAAACAAATTTCGTTTCAAAAACAAAATAATGATACAGAAATTGATAGAAGAATAATAAAGACATGGAAAAAAATTTGGAGTTTAAAGGAAGTTCTAAAAAGTCAGATGCCAATGAAAGTCAAGACAAAGTCATAGACGCCCAACACGCCAAATTTGGAAGTTCACACGAAGAGTCAAAAATAAAATCACATCTTGCCAGCGAAGCATGGAAAGAAGCGTCACAAAAATTAAAAAAAAGTCAAAAAATTCGTCACACTATCATCAGGCAAAAGACAAGAGTAACAGATGCCCTCACACACGCTCTAAAGTTAAAATGGAGGTGGGCAGGACACGTAGCGAGAATGAACGACGAGCGATGGACAATTCGCATGACGTCATGGCCAGGTCCTACAGGCACTCGGAAAATAGGAAGACCTACATATAGATGGGCAGACGACATCACCCGAGTCTCAGGCAAAAACTGGATGTCGGAAGTCAAAGACCGAGACCGCTGGCGTTCTCTGGAGGAAGCCTTCACCCTCACTACTTGAGGGGTTCATGCATCGTATTTTTTTAATCTTAAATCTTTATTCTATTTTAAATCTATAATTTTATTTTCATTTTATACTATTTTTAATTATATTGAAAACCAAAAATTGTATGTATATTAAAAGAAATGAATGATTTCATTTCTTTTAATATTTTATTTCATTTAATTTAAATTTAAGTAAACTTAATTTCATTTAAATTAATATATAATGAGAGACAGAAATGAAAATAAAAATGTAATAAAAGGGACAAAAAATATATAACTATTCACTCATGAGATAGTAACAAAAACAATGTAACAGTCCATTTATAACCTATTATTACTACAAGAAAATGTTATGTGCAATGCATGAAATAAAAGGCTTTTTTTTATTTACTTATTTTTATTTATTTAACGCCAGATTCTATTAATTATCAAGATCAGCGGTCAAGTTTACCACCACTAGACCAACGATACGAAATCTAATAATACATGTTGAATACATACTATACAATGGTAAAGTATTTTGCCATAAGCCACACGCGGATCGACAATAGCAGAATTTGGTACTACTAATATCACGCAAATATAATACCTCATTCTAATCATTAGATCTTTAAAATGCACTGCTGGACATGGCCTTTCCCTCTGAAGATAAGATTCGCTTTAATTGTCACTCATACCAGACTTGTTGTTCGCTTGTTGTTCGAACAGCTTGATGTTCGCAACCAGTTAACCTTTGTTGCTGCTGCCAGTCTGTTCTGTCTGACTCTGAAGCACATATAATTTTATTATTTGATGGTTTGTCCCTGCAGTAGATTTTTTTAACACACGGCGAAATCAAAGGGGTGTCATAAGTATGTAATGTGTCTCTACATAGATAGAACATAGAAACAGTAATTCACAGACACATGTCTGTGAGTATCTGTTTCTACGTTGTTCGCGGGTAACGATATCGGTTTGCTCGCGTGTTAATGTGCCGTGCCACTAAGCTACCATGGCTTGGAACTGCAGTATGTTTAATTATATATTATTCTGAATATAATTTGAAAACAAAATCCGGAAGTTCTAGGATGCACTATTCAAAATTGTTTTATTATTTGAGAAAAGAATTGGCAAAATTTATTTACTTTCATGTATTCCCACTTTCATTTTAATAAAACGATAAATTAATCAATTAGGTCTCAACTAAAAGAGATATGTTTTTAAAACTTATCTTTCTAGCGTTGCTTACATCCGCGCAAATTGTCAATGACTTATGTAACATAATTTTAAATAACAAAGTAGACCTGTGCTTTGCTGCGGAGGCAAGGCAAATATGGCTAAAGCTCTGTCCCGGCGTCCATTGGAAGTTAACCAACAAAAACAGTGGGATATTCCGTTGGTACGGTAGTGTGCAGAAAGATATGTTTCACAATTTCCACAGTGACCAAGATCAGGCTTGCCTTCTAACTGTTTCGACTAAGGAGTTTAGTGACTGATACGCTGTACCGTCAAGTAATTTCGGTACATTTCTTGATGAGCAAAGCTTGCGCATTGCCATAGGAATCCGCCTAGGAGCAGCAATTTTTCAATCTCACGACGACGAGTTTGGGGACTCCACGAAAAGTGCACGTAGGTTTCCCGTCACGATTCTTCGAAAGAAGTC